ATGCGCGCCACGGGTTTTATAACCTTTTGATGATGATCTCCGTTTTATCCCGCGTCGTCGTTATTGTCGATTCCTATTTTATCGTTTGAGTCCGCGCTCGGCGGTTCCGAGGGCAAAGATGGTCGCGTTCGCGGGAACGGTGATCGTTGAAAGTTCGAGGCGGTTGTTAAGGTGCATCCTGTGACCTTTGAGCAAACTAGAAGGTACAGATGAGGAATTATTGTTATTACTGTTGCGTGTAATTTGTGTTTCGCGAATGAAGAGGTTTGGGGAGACTCGCGAGTGAGGTTAGGCTCGGATTGTAATGGCTTTAGGAGTACGAATGAATTACTTTTATCTTTTCGAAATAGAAGCGTCATCAAGTGTCTTAATAAACGTCATTTTCTATTTTTCTTTCTTTTCTTTTTTGAAATCTCAAGTTGATTTGATTATTTTACAGTATATAGTTTTTATAGTTATTTTTGTAGAGTCAAATTGGCAAATAGTGACGTCACGTAACATTTACAGTTTACAATATTCGTTACATGATTTTACATATTTAGAAATGCGTTTATAATAATACCTCTTCATTCGATCCATGAGTTTTTCTACTAAGTGACAAAACCCTATAATAAACTCTCCTTTTCCTAACCTCGAAATCCATTATCCGCAACGGGTATTTTACCAACACCACAATCAACTCTACCTAAAATGCATATCCAAAAGCAACTAAATCAAAAAATTAGCATAATGAAGCCAACGCTTTATCCATTATTAACCCCTGGCTTTACCATTTAGGTTCCAATGGTGCGTACCATGATCAACAACAACGTTGGACACTGAGGCGAAAAGGCGTCAACGAAAATTAACCACGAGCCTGACTCGTGATGTCTATATTGGGCCCTATCTACGAACCACGTCTCTCACCCGTGATAATATTGTTTGATCCGATCTTCTACGAGTCTCACACCATATTGCAGGCGAAGAGGTTAGTCCTTAAGTAAAAACTTACCTAACTCAGCGAACAACCCTAACGAAATTGAATTTCTCGTAGATCCTGAAAGCACAGTCGTGTAACATTTAATCGTTACCTTGGACTTTAAGAAGCTCCCCGATTTGTCGTAGCCAGGCGATCGATCACTCAGCGGCAACTCGTTGTTTCGCAAGCCGAGCCAGATGATCGCGGGTGTAATTACGCCGATCGGACAGCGTTCCTCGAGTTACTTTCACACCGCGAGGGCATTCAATCGGCGGCCCATCGCCGGTGTATCACGCATCGAACGACGCCGGGTATTCCGCTCACGTCTCTCATTGCACTGCGTATGAATGATAAATTCTTTGATCCTATAAACTATTAATTACAACGGCTCCGGGCCGTCTCGATAGTCGGAAGCCGCGATGTACGCGCTTCCTGCTTAGCCTGCGGTGTACGTGGCCGTTTTTCACTTAACACGAGGTGAACCACGTAGCGACGTTTTAAGTTCTCCTGTTTTTCGAAATCGTGTCAACGTGTTTCGCTTTGAGCGATCGTCATCATTGCATCTCCGTTCGGTGATTCGAAATAGCGGAATACGTCGTGTACTCGATAATTATGGTAATGATCTGATAATTATGAGAATGATATAAGTCATATATTTTATGCCTTTTAACACTAGTACTACCGATAGATAATGCGCACCCTTGATATATAGTACGCAGATGATTATAGCTTAAGTGGTGCAATGAAAATTAATTTGTATAATCATTCTTCTATCTCTATAGAAGTTAATATTTGTTGATGGAAGTACTTATTGGTATCTATTAGGCGGTAGCTGTATGTTATCGGTAATTGCAAAAACGAAAGACGCGAAACTCGTCGTTTTGACAGGTTTAGTAGGCCTGATGTTGGTACGTCCATTTTGAGAAATATATTCCAGAGTACATCGAGTGGCTCGACGTTTAACTATTTTTCATACGTTTCTAGATCGATGTACCACGAAACGAGAATCTTGTATGACAATTTCTATAAGACTAGCTCGTAAAAATATTATACGGAATCCCTCTCGTAATTTCATGCAGAACCAGTCAGTCCACTAATGAATTCATAACTTCTCGTCGAATAATTAACAATTTGTATAGATAGTGAATGATAATTCCGATATCACGGAGTTTAATTCCGACAGTTAAAAAAATAAAGCGAGTCATTATCAAAATAAACGATTTTTAATAGCGCGGTTTGCCTCGTAGATAACAATCGTGTCTCTCCGTATTTAGAGGTTATGTTGGAAACAACCATATACGAGTGACCATTTCAACAGAAGAGGCGTCTCTACGAGCAAATACAGCTGGCTTATGTCTTATTAAAGATGCCTGTTTTTACGATACTACAGCAGACTTACAGTCTGTCTCGAAATTTAACCCTCACGCTAAATTCTCCAGCCCCACCGATATTTTCTACACCGTTATTATTCCTTGTAAATTTTCCAATTAATTTCCCAATTAATTTCCTTATTAAAATACGAAAATTTCGATTGAATTATTAAAAATTTTTCAGGTGACAATGGAGAGGACACGCTCGATGTCGACGAGTACCCACACTTTCAGCTGACACTGTACCTCGACGATTCCTCCTATCCGTATCTTGGCGTTATAAAATAACTGAGACGTATAGGTATATCTCTCGAGTGGAACACGTCTACTAGTTAAAACATGTAGCGCAGCATTTTAATATATGTATTTTCCAGCGAACAGGAACCCGCTATCAACCATACTACGCGATGTATCCACCTACCGACATCCTCTGTCGTCGTGTCGGCATCTTTTTGAAGATTATCGCCCTCACGAAAGTCCATAAATGCTGGCAGTAAACGCTGCATGTACACACTCATACGTATATAAGTAAGTACGCACAGAGATGCTGGATCGACGAGATCCTGGATGTAGTAAAAGATCAAACTGTGACAAGCGATCTTTAATGACCGTGTTCGGTATAATTAGTGGAAGACACGTCAAGGGGTTGTCAAGTTGTAAAAACTGCTGCCATGCGTTTTATCTATTCACTTGCAAGTTTAATTAGGAATCCGAAGATTTAATAAGTTGGAAGGAATTCGGTCGTGCGAGTGTGGAACTAGGAGTTCGAGGTTGTTGATGATCCAATGAAAAGAGAATCTTCTATGAATGAAGACTTAACCCTCTGCACTCGAAGATTTTTTCGCTGCCAAGATAGAACAATTCGAAGCTTTTCTTATATTTTTCTAAGCTCGGTAATGGCATTTACACTATAGTAAAGATAGTATTTCTTACTTCTAATTTAATTATTATTCCTTATTTAAGCTTTCAAATATTACAATAAACGGTGAGTGAAAAGGATTAATATTCGGAGAGCAAATAATTAAACAGTACTTGCACATTGCACTATGGAAATTAAAATTTATTTTCAAAATTCTTCCAGGAATACATTCGACGCAGTTAACGTTAATAAAATAATGGATCAACGTAGAAGCGTACAAATTTAAATAATCTACGATATTTATCAACGAAAAAGAGTATCCGAGAAGGTAATAAAATAACCAAGAATTACTAAAAACCGCAAATCTCATATAATCTATCCCAATCCTTTGCAACTCGTGCATACAATTTCCCAACTACCACGCATCAGCATGCAACGTATGTACCAACCTTGGTAAAATAATTCTAGCAGAACCTGAAGTCTCTCGCAGCAACCTACACAGACTCTGACCGAAACACTAAGGAAGCTTCTAATTCGACGAGTCTCTATGACTCACTCCCAGAGACTTTTCCTTGATTATCAAAAAGCAACCCGCACCGTCAATCTCCGCTCATCTCGCGGAACGCAACGCGTCAGGGGTCATCGCTGATTGATCTCGCGGCCGGTCAAGGAAGCTCTATCCTCCCGTGCAAAACGGTGGAATCCGACTTTTCCAGCCAGGAGTGGCACGATCTTGGCCAGGAATCGCGCGGATTCTAACGAAAGAACCGCGAATTCCTGCCGGCAGATTGGCATCGAGCAGGAATCGAGCGGAGCCGGCGCTCGGTGAATGAGTTCACCTCGACTTCCTCGGCGTTTAGGCTGCAGGCGCTATAGGTGGTCCACGACCGACACGTAGTGTGCTATCTCGGCTGAACTGGTGCAAGTTCATTCACCCACGGTTCACACCTCACTGGACACAATGCCGGGGGTACCAACAGGCTTCCGAGTAAGCTGCTCTTCTGTCCTATCCATGAGATTAGTTCGCGTATCTTTCGCGAAGCTACCTCGAGATTTATTATCTTTTACATAGTAAATCGCTGATTTGATTGTTCGACCAATCTTCGAAATAAAAATTTCGCAATTGAATTGGAAATTTAGAGTCAAGTTGTAAAGATAAAAATTGAGTGGTAAACTTCCTATGAGCTTATTGTTAAACGAATTTTGAGAAGAAATTTAATAATATTAGATTATTTCGAAGTCTTCCATATTTATAGTGTCTGCTTTGGGTTAGTAGAGAATGATTGAATTTCAGTAGCTGTGTTGGACTGTCGATGATCCGTGTATTTGTAGATCGATTCTGTAATTAGCATATTGCTACGATATTGATGGCACATTGTGGTTTCCACAGTAGTAGTTGTACCTGATAATTTACTATTACATTTGTGCTATTTCTCGTTTACTTAACGACAGAGTACACGATATAACATATAGAATACTGTATAACGATAAATAAATCAGAACATATTTTAATTAAATCAAAGGATAATTAAAGAGAACGAGAGACTGTTTCGTGCATGTGACAATTACATTCAGATATGTGGTTCTCTTCGAACTCCATAATTTTTTTGCCATGCAAGTTTTACCGATGCACTTGCATGTTCTTTCTCTTCTTCTCGTACTAGCTAATGATCCTAACGCCACTGAATTATCGGCTTGTCCTTTGAAGAATCTTAATTGAAAAGGTAAATTGACCATGAGTTCGTGTTTTTTCAAAATTTCTCCGGCTTCTACGATTAACATACGAGGGAGCAATTAAGTTATTAATTGATTCTTAATTGCCGGTTACACGTTTACCACGGGTATTTTGATTAACAGTCTCGTTCAAGATACGCTGTCAAACATTTGCGCTAATTATTACTTTCTAAAGCTCAGCTTAATGTTCCGTTAATAAGTGTATTTTAGTATGTGCATAAATTAAATAAACCGACCAAGGGTCCGATGCCATTAGCAATTAAGGGTCGATGATGTTTTTATTATGCCTTATCGAACTCGTACAAAAATACATCAAATGGAAAAGTGGTGGAAGTATTAAATGGAGTAAAAGAATTACATCGACGCAAAAGTGAGTCAGCGGGTTAAATTCCCTATCTTACCTCGTGTCAAAATTTTCTCTTATCATTTCGCATAATTGTCGATAGAAAAATTCATTGCACCCTGCGGAAAGAAAAAATATTTTCTGCGTTCGGAAACCGATCAAAACACGTTCTGAATGGCAAACGCGTGACATTAAAAACTAACGAGTGACGAGACTATATAAATTTCCCCAAATTTTATTCTCGGTCACAGATATAGCAAACACCAGGCAACGAAATTACCAAGATCGATCGTTATAAGCGCGTTGACTCGTCATATCTAAAATTTCCGGAGCTCGCGCGTCCCCACTCCGGAAATTTCCAGCCGGGTCGATTCCGCTGCGTCTTACATAATCGTAAATTGGCCGGGGGAAACAACGAGGCGACCGGGTCGTTCGCTCGATTCCAGATTTACCTCGGTACAGATAAACAGGTGTAAAATTTTATCGCGCCCGTATATATACAGCCGGGTTTCTTGAGTTGGCCGCGTATTAAATTCAACGCGAGAACTTGTTACGGTGCAGTCAACTCGAAGGTGGGCATCATTAACGACACGCTTCGTAACTCTGTTTAAAGCGCCAATAGCCTGCGCGTCCGCGTCCTAATCCCCTCCGCCGTGGTCTCGGTCGCGCGGACCATGGAGAGGCCCCTCCGTGGTTGCACACGCACACGCGGCACAAGGTGCGAAAGGTTTCAGCATTTTCTAATGAATGATTATCGCGAATCGGTTCGAGACTAGCCGTTCGTAACCCCTGGTTATCGGTACGGAGTTATCGGCTAACAAGTTGTACCCCATAGGAACATAGTAATCCCCATTCCGGTGGTAGAGATAAGAGCACCTAGCCGCGCCACGGGTAACGCTATACTCGTAGCAAACGTTGCCCTATCTCACCCCTGCATAGCGTTGTACTCGAGCCGATCGCGGATCTGAACTAATTTCTTTTTGCGCTCGTTATTGCCCCCCTCTCCCCCTCCTTTTCCGTTGCTTGTTTCTCGTCCGGCCGAACGACTGTATCGAGATTGGATGTCTCGCGTTTCGAACAGGTTTATTTAGTTGCGCGGGCTTATGGGGATTGATTGGTAGCAATCAAAATTATGGGAAGGTGGAGGTGATATGCGCGTTAATAAAATTTTTGTAAAGCGATTTTATTGCTTCAGTTAAAGCGGAATTGACCGCCGCGATCGTGGTCGTTGTGTTTTCATGGGGTGCGAAGGTAAAGTGCTATAATTTTCTCGGTTTTCTTTCTGTGTTTTTATTGAAGAAGAGACTCGTTCTTGCGTCGTTAATTGTGCACCGATGATGAGGTGTTTTGACGTTTGCCGGTATCAATTGCATCGCGTATATTGGAGTATGAGAATAGCGAATCCACTTCCTTGAAAATATTTTATCATTTCTGATCAATTATTCGAATCCTAGTTGGCAAAAGTATAAGAAGCTTGGAATTGAATTTAATTCCAGTGCAAACTATGAAGCATTTTTCCCAATCAGACGCCATTTTGGTGCATCTAAATCGCCGCAAATTTGAGTGACATACATTTTTATGTCGGGAAAATTTTGTAAGCGTAATATAAATTCGCGGGGTTGAAAAATGTGCGAAGTGCGGGAGGAAAAATGATTCGAATCGCAGTATACCTCGTCTAACTTTGCTCATAGCTTTCGCTGTTGCTTGCTTCAGGTAGGCAGACATTCGTTCCCGTTTACGACGATACCACGTTGCAGGAAGGAAGTAAGAGAAGCGAACAGAACCGTGCCAAAGCGGAGAAACGTCTAGTACCGAACATTTTCCTAAATTGCGACCGGTGTTCACGTTCACAATTACTTCGTGCTCACGTTTGCAATTATTTAAACGTACACCAAACTAGCCTGGAATACCGCGCCAACAACTGACAATAACAGTAACGATAACGATAACTATCGCCTCTTTCTAACATGCAAAGTCAGAGTAGTAACTAACGTATAATTTCTGCTAGGATTATTGTAACTACCATGACGCTGCTTTTATAACTCAATTCTCATAGTGTCCTCTTCTTCGTAAAACAGCGGTCATCTTTCTCGCATTTTTCCTATCAGTCACGGAACACCGAAAGACCATGATACTGTACACTCGATGATAATGTATAATAGAAACACAGAAGCGTCGCGTGTCGTTTAATAAATATTATTTTTCGCGAATTTAATAGCAAAATATCAAGTGCGAGATAAAAATCCTCCGACGTTTAATCACGTTCTAAGTCATCGCTTTATTAAAATAATCGAACTAATTCGAGCTCTTAGGATTTATGAACGTCCACTCTCCGCAAGAGAGGTAACTATTTCTAAAGACGTAAAACTGATATTTGCAAGTAGTTTCATTAGTATTTTCAGACTACTCGGGCGTGGAAGAACTTGTAAGAATCACTTAAATATAGAGCGTGTGGATTATTGCGAGGAAGACGACTTGGTCGTAACTAGTAATTATAATTATCACAGATAATATTTAATTATCGCGCCCTCTGCCGCATTTTAATTAATCGAAGGAGAAAACACTCTTA